CCAAAAACACCATACCAACAGTGAAGTTTGGAGGTGGGAACATCATGGTGTGGGGCTGTTTTTCAACATATGGTACTGGCAAACTTCAAATAAATGAAGGAAGGATGAATGGAAAAATGTACAGAGACATTCTTGATAAAAATCTGCAAAGCATATATACAGCTTTATGAATAAAGCTACATATACAGTATATATATAAAAGCATATATAAAGCATATATACAGTAGACACTCCTGGCAGCTTTCTTTGTATAACAACAGAGCTTAGGCATGTTATCAATGCTGAGAAAAAAATGATTGGAACTTTATTTTTTCTTCACAGTTGTGTGAAATCACCTGAGTGTAGATAATAGCTCATTCATTCACCTACATACATACAGCCTCATAAAGTAATAATGCACTCATAAGTTTGTGCAGGCATGTCTGATGATATGGCAGCATCTGGGGCTCAGAGCAGTCCTGCAAAAACCCTAAACATGCCCCTATGGGGAGAAAAAGTGAGAGCTGTTTGTGTTTGTGCGTCAGCGTGAGTTTCAACAGCATGATTTATATGTCAGCAGTTGAAGGTGTAAACAGTCAAGTCGGCACGCACACACCTGACACACACCGCCTAACTCCTTTTTATTCTGGCGTTTCCCTTTCAGACACAAATGTTTTACGGTCCACTTATGCACACACACATTCATAAAGCTCCCCCATACTCCCACATGTTCTGTACATAAAGAAGTTGGAGCACACTCCACCCACTAACACTTACACCCTCACACAGACACACACATTGAAACGCTGAGGGCCCTGGAGGAATGGAAGGTGCTGAAACTAGTTACGCGTTGGGTGTTGTCTACAGCTGGAACTGGATCTGGTTACCGGCACTCCCTATCCTCCATGTTCATGCGTTAACACAAACTGCCACACTGATGTCCTGATAAGCAACTGACCGGGCACCTCATCCTGCAACAGCGTTGCCATAAACCCACATGCATGCAAGTCGGTAAACACACCCACAGAGGTCTGCAGTGGGTCGAGGCGTCAAGGTCCACTGACTTAAAAGAAAAAGCTTGCACACATATATATTTATATATGAGTTGTGGTTGAAGGTAAAACCAATAAAGATAATAGTTTGTGTGTGAGCATCTGTGCAAATGTGCTTCCTCTCTTGTGGTTTGTCCTCTAACATAAAATACTGAACAAGTAGAATGAGATTTCATCCAAGCACGCTAACGCCTTTGCTTTTGCCTTTATTGTATGTCTTTGTTTTCCCTCCCAATAAGTTCAAACACTTAGCCTTCATCTTGGTCCAACAACTCCCCTACTTTTTTCCCTCAGTTTATGTGTTTTTCCGCAATGGTTCTTTGCTCTCCATGTGAGTTTTATTGAGCATTTGAGCAATCTGAAATCATTGCATGAGCTGCAGGGAAGGGCAAAGGCTGATGGGCCAGCCAATGAGGAAGGAAGGGGGGAAAAGACGAGAGCAAGAAAAATAAAATGAAATAATAATAATAATAATAAAAACAGCCAATGAAAGACACCTGGAGAGAGAGGAAAGGAGACAGCGAGTTAGTCAGTTACACAAATGAGAAACGAGCAGATAAAAAGGGGGAAAAAAAAGATGGAGATAATTGGGTCCACCACCACACCCCTTTATGGACCAAGTCCTAGAAGATAGGACCACATTAGAGAGTGTGACACAGCCCGCTCAGTGATGATGTCTGAGGTGAGAAGCCATGAGACCAATTATGATGAAGATGATAAAGAGCTAATCAGACGGTAATTAATACAAGCAGAATGCAGCTGGAACTAAACTGAGGCTGGCAAAAGAGATAAGAGACTGCAGTCACAGACAGAAGGGGGGAGAAAATAACTCAGACTATATAGTGATAGATAGATAGATAGATAGATAGATAGATAGATAGATAGATAGATAGATAGATAGATAGATAGATAGATAGATAGATAGATAGATAG